CGGTCCCGGCGTCGCTGTCGCAGCCTCACCTCCCCGTAGGTGTCCACCGCTGGCTTCCAGAGGTGCTTCAAGCCCAGGCCCTCGCAGTCGTACACCATCAGCACCGTCTCGACCTTCCTGCCCAGCTGGGATGGGGTGGGGGGGGGGGGGGTCAGGCCGTGCCCAGCCCCAGTGATGGGGCTGGAACCCCCTGGGCAGAGCCTCCTGCGGGTGTTGGTGTGGGGAGAAGGGGCACTGGGTGGTGGGCATGGAGTGGGCATGGGTTTGTGGGGCTGGAGAGGCCATTGAATGGTGGGGATGGGTGAGAGATGGACTTACAGAGCTGGCAGGGACATGGTCTGAGGCAGGAGGGACAGGACGTGGACTTGTGGGGCTGGCAGGAACAGACTGGTGGGGATGGACTGGGCATGGAGGGGTGGGGAGGAGGTTGGGTGGTGGGGCTGGACCAGACGTGGGTTTGTGGGGCTGGCCCCACCTTCCTGCTCTGCTCCTCGCACTCGCGCCGCAGCAGCTCGCAGTCACGGAACTTGTTCTTGAGCAGGTCCTGCTTGGAGGCAGAGAGCAGCAGCCCCCGCGCGTCCAGCGGCCCGATGATGTCGTACCAGATGGGGCTGCCCTCGCGGTCGTAGCCGCACATCCCACCCGACATGTACCTGCGGATCACCTGCGCAGCGCCGCCGTCAGGGGCGCCCCATAGGGATGGGACCCCCCGGGGCACCCCCCGGGGCCGGGGACACCCACCTCGGGGGCCTCCCACGACACGATGTTGTCGGCGTCCATGTGCTTGCGGAACTCAAGGTGCTGCGGGGTGGGGGCAGAGATGAGAGGATCTGGGGACCCCCAGCCCATGGGATGGGGTGCACCCTGCGGGCAGGTCTGAGAACGGAGCCATCCCAGTGACAACCGGGAGCTTGGTGGTGGCATGGGGGGGTCTCTCTCACCTTGCGAAGCATCGCCTCAGCCTTGGGCACGTCGAAGGAGCGCGCTGCAGGACAGCAAAGAGCTCAGCTCCAACGGGTGCTGCAGCCCGGTTCCATCACCCCCAACACGTGTCCCTGGCTCCATCACCCCCAATGCGTGTCCCTGGCTCCATCAGCCCCAATGCGTGTCCCTGGCTCCATCACCCACAATGCAAGTCCCCAGCTCCATCACCCCCAACACGTGTCCCTGCCTCCATCACCCCCAATGCATGTCCCTGGCTCCATCAGCCCCAATGCATGTCCCTGGCTCCATCAGCCCCAATCCATGTCCCCAGCTCTATCACCCAAAACACATGTCCCTGGCTCCATCACCCCCAACACATGTTCCCGGCTCCATCACCCCCAATACGTGTTCCCGGCTCCATCACCCCAATGTGTGTCCCTGGCTCTGTCACCCCCAACACGTGTCTCTGGCTCCATCACCCCCAATGTGTGTTCCCGGCTCCATCACCCCCAATGTGTGTCCCTGGCTCCATCACCCACAATGCAAGTCCCCAGCTCCATCAGCCCCAACACGTGTCCCTGGCTCCATCACCCCCAATGCATGTCCCTGGCTCCATCAGCCCCCATGTGTGTCCCTGGCTCTATCACCCAAAACTCATGTCCCCAGCTCTATCACCCAATACACATCCCCAGCTCCATCACCCCCAATACGTGTTCCCGGCTCCATCACCCCATATGTCCCCGGCTTCATCACCCCTCAACACATGTTCCTGGCTCCATCACCCCCAATACGTGTTCCCGGCTCCATCACCTGCAACATGTGTCCCCGGCTCCATCACCCCCAATGTGTGTTCCCGGCTCCATAACCCCAATGTGTGTTCCCGGCTCCATCACCCCCAATGCATGTCCCTGGATCCATCACCCCCAATGCATGTCCCTGCCTCCATCACCCTCAGTGCGTGTCCCCCACCCTGGGGTCACCTCGGAGCCATTTGAGGAGGAAATAGTCGTCCTGTGCGGGCAGCGAGGGCAGCACATCCTGCAGGTTCTCCCGGAACTGCCAGCGGAAGAGGGGCTGTTGGAGGGGCCATGATCCCACCCGGAAACCCCAGAGCTGCTGCTTTGTGCCCCAGAAGGGCAGGGGCACCCACACCTTGTGCCTGCCACTGTGCATGCTGGGCCCAAGCACTCGGTGTCCCCGAGCTGGTCCCCTTGTGCGGGGCTGCAGGGACCATGGAATCCCAGCCTGGTTTGTGTTGGAAGGGACCTTAAAGCTCCTCCAGCTCCAACCCCTGCCACGGGCAGGGACCCCTTCCACTAGAGCAGCTTGCTCCAAGCCCCTGTGTCCAGCCTGGCCTTGAACACTGCCAGGGATGGGGCAGCCACAGCTTCTCTGGGCACCCTGTGCCAGCGCCTCAGCACCCTCACAGGGAAGAGCTTCTGCCTAAGAGCTCAGCTCAGTCTCCCCTCTGGCAGGTTCAAGCCATTCCCCTTGGCCTGTCCCTGCAGGCCCTTGTCCCAAGCCCGTCTCCAGGTTTCCTGGCCCTCTCCACCAGACCGTTCCCCACCACCGCTGCCATCCTTTGGGATGGCACCGCTGCAGTGACACCCTGCAGGTCCCAGCCGGGTGCAGGTCCCTGTGGCACATGGTCCCCGTACCAGGCCAGGACCTGCCCTTAATGAGGCCGATGGGATTATCTGCCGCTGAATTTAGGTGTAATTAAGGCCGGGATTAGCTCCTTCACCCTGAGAACAACAAGGTGCTCATGGACGGGTTCCGCAGCTCCGCTTTCCCCCACCCGCCAGCACCGGGACGGTTTCGGCTCCGTTCCCCATCCCGGCGGGGTCATCCTGGGCTCGGGTGGGCCAAGAGCAGCGACAGGATAAAGTCCCGGCGCGGTGGGAGCAGTGACCCCGCGGGAAGCCACCCGGGCACGGCGCCGGTGATCGCGGTGCCAGCCCCAAGGCCAGCGCGGTGGCTGATGGCCACGGGTCACCCGGAGCCCCGCGGCGGGGCAGGAGGTGCCCCGGGCAGCGGCGGGGCCAGCGGGAGCGATGGGGATGGATGGGGCGGGATGGGGGGGGGGGGGCTCGGGGCCGCGGTCCCCTCTGGGATGGCGCAGCCGGGACGGGACCGGGCGGCACCGCGGGGGATGCCGGGCTCACCGGGGCCGCTCCCCGCTCACCTGCGCCAGCGCCTCCGCCTGCCGCGGGCTCAGGTCCCCGACGCGGCCGCTCATGGTGCCCGGCCCCGGGGGGGCTCGCGCAGCCTCTACCGGGCCCCGGCGCCGGCGGCCGCTTGCGGAGGCTCCGGAGCGCCGCCCCCAGCCCGCCCCGCCCCGGCCCAGCCCGGCCCGGCCCCGCGGCCTTGGACCCTGCCCGGGCAGCGGCGGGGCACGGGGGTACGGGAGGGGATAGGGGGGTGTGGGGGGATGGAGGGATGGGGGCTGCGGGTGGTGCGGGGGATACAGGGGTACGGGGGTATGGGGGGCACGGGTGGGGGATGGAGGGGTGTGGGGGTACGGGGTTATGGGGCTTAGGAGGGGATAGGGGTATGGAGAGGATGGGGGGGCACAGGGGGATGGGGCTAAGGGGGCCGTGTGTCACGCATGGCCCCATGGATGTACCATGGAGCCATGCATGTCCCTCAGAGCTGTGTCTACCCCATGGACCCATGCATGTCCCACAGAGCCATCTGTGTCCCTTGGACCCATGCATGTCCCACAGAGCCATCTGTGTCCCTTGGACCCATGCACGTCTTACAGAGCCATCTGTGTCCCTTGGACCCATGCATGTCCCATGGAGCCGTCTGTGTCCCTTGGACCCATGCATGTCCCATGGAGCCGTCTGTGTCCCTTGGACCCATGCATGTCCCATGGAGCCGTCTGTGTCCCTTGGACCCATGCATGTCCCATGGAGCCGTCTGTGTCCCTTGGACCCATGCATGTCCCATGGCGCCGTCTGCGTCCCTCTGAGTGGTGACTGCCCCATGGAGCCATCCATGTCCCATAAACCTATGGATACTCCACAGCTCCATTCCCACCCCACGCGTGTCCCACCACACAGGTCCCACGTGTGTGTCCCTTCCATGGGGTCTCACAGCTGCGGTGCCCCATGTTCCCATTTTGGGTATCCCACATTGGGAACCACCTTTCCCGGCCCAGCTCCGGAGCTGGACAGGTTTCCGGGCTGGTGTTTACAACAGGGCCAAGCAATGGGAATGTTTTGCCGTGTGGTTAAACCGGCTCCAGTGCTGAGATTAAGCCTCCATCATTGCAACACGGTTGGGAGCACCGGGAATACCAGGTCACACCCAGACCCGTCCTGCTGGGAATGCCACCGCACCATGGCCCCTGCGCCCGGCCGGCCCGTGGGTAATCCCCTGGGAATCCTGTTCCGGCACATGTGCCGGGCACACGTGGCTGCAGCGGGGCCACCGCGGCGGCACTGCTGGCACTGCTGGCACAGGGACCATGGACGGGTGTCAGGGGGGGTTTGGGGTACTCGGGTGTTGGGGTGAGCCCAGGCCAGGGCTTGGGGCGCTCCACATGTGTGCGGGGCTGTGCATGTCCCTGTGCACGCGTGTCCTCGTGTGGCCCCACGTGTCCTCATGGGCCCCACAGGGAAGCGGGGCTGTGGGGCCATGGGGGCCACATCCCCCAGCGTGGCACCATCCCTCCCCCTGTCCCTCTCCTGGTGCCCATCCCAGTCCCTGTCCCTCTCCCCGTGCCTGTCCCGGTCCCAGTTAGGGATGGGGCAGTTCCCAGTCCTGGTGCCTGCCCCTATCTTTATTCCTGTCCATGTTTTTTTCCCTCTCCCGCTCCCCATCCCCGGTTCCTGCCTCTATCCCGTTCCTTTATCCTGGTCCCTTTTATCCGAGTACTCTTATCCCGGTACCAAATCGGCCCCTTTTATCCTTGCCACCCCGCTCCTTTTTATCCCTGTCCCTATCCCTGGTCCCTTACCCCGGCCCCGGCCCCACTCCCGGTTTCGCTCTCGGGCGCCCCCCGGCGGCGCTCGGCGCCTGCGGTCCTCCGCGGCGGCAGGGGGCGCTGCGGGGCGGTGCGCGGCAGGGCGATGGCGGCGGTGCGGGCCGCGCTGCTGGCGCCGCTGCTGGCGCTGTGCCGGGCCGGGCCGGGGCCTGCGCCCGCCGCCCGGGTGGAGGTGGCGGTGACCGGGCCGGGGCCGGGGCAGGGCCCGGGGGATGGTGGCGGCAGCGCGGCCGCGGGGCCCGGAGGCTCCTACACACTGCGCGGTGCCGTGCTGGGAGCGGGGGGGCCGCGGGACGAGGAGGAGCAGGAGGAGATCCGCGGGCGGCTGCTGCTGGTGAGCACCGGGACCCGGGCACCGGGGCAGCGGGGAGACCGGGAACCGGGGGATAGGGAAGTGGGCAGCAGGGAATGGGGCACCGGGAACCGGGAGGATCTGGGCACCGGGGGCTGTGTGTGCAGTGGGCATTGAGGGCTGTGAGTGCAGTGGGCACTGGGGGGGCTGTGTGTGCAGTGGGCACTGGGGTGGCTGTGTGTGCAGTGGGCATTGAGGCTGTGTGTGCAGTGGGCACTGGGGGGCTGTGTGTGCAGTGGGCACTGGGGGCTGTGTGTGCAGTGGGCATTGGGGGATCTGTGTGTGCAGTGGGCACTGGGGGCTGTGTGTGCAGTGGGCACTGGGGGCTGTGTGTGCATGGGGCACTGGGGGGGCTGTGTGTGCAGTGGGCACTGGGGGGCTGTGTGTGCAGTGGGCACTGGGGGGCTGTGTGTGCAGTGGGCATTGGGGGGCTGTGTGTGCAGTGGGCACTGGGGGGCTGTGTGTGCAGTGGCCATTGGGGGCTGTGTGTGCAGTGGGCACTGGGGGCTGTGTGTGCAGTGGGCACTGGGGGCTGTGTGTGCAGTGGGCACGGGGGTGGCTGTGTGTGCAGTGGGCATGGCGGCGGGGTGTGCAGTGGGCACTGGGGGGCTGTGTGTGCAGTGGGCACTGGGGGCTGTGTGTGCAGTGGGCACTGGGGGCTGTGTGTGCAGGGAGCACTGGGGGCTGTGTGTGCAGTGGGGACCGGGGGCTGTGTGTGCAGTGGGCACTGGAGGGGCTGTGTGTGCAGTGGGCACTGGAGGCTGTGTGTGCAGTGGGCATTGGGGGGCTGTGTGTGCAGTGGGCACTGGAGGGGCTGTGTGTGCAGTGGGCATTGGGGGGGCTGTGTGTGCAGTGGGCATTGGGGGGCTGTGTGTGCAGTGGGCATTGGGGGCTGTGAGTGCAGTGGGCATTGGGGGGCTGTGTGTGCAGTGGGCACTGGGGGCTGTGTGTGCAGTGGGCATTGGGGGGCTGTGTGTGCAGTGGGCACTGGGGGCTGTGTGTGCAGTGGGCATTGGGGGCTGTGTGTGCAGTGGGCACTGGGGGATCTGTGTGTGCAGTGGGCACTGGGGGGCTGTGTGTGCAGTGGGCACTGGGGGGCTGTGAGTGCAGTGGGCATTGGGGGGCTGTGTGTGCAGTGGGCATTGGGGGGGGCTGTGTGTGCAGTGGGTGGGGGGGCTGTGTGTGCAGTGGGCCGTGGGGGGCTGTGTGTGCAGTGGGCACTGGGGGCTGTGTGTGCAGTGGGCATTTGGGGGAGCTGTGTGTGCAGTGGGCATTTGGGGGAGCTGTGTGTGCAGTGGGCACTGGGGGGCTGTGAGTGCAGTGGGCATTGGGGGGGCTGTGTGTGCAGTGGGCATTGGGGGCTGTGTGTGCAGTGGGCATTGGGGGCTGTGTGTGCAGTGGGCATTGGGGGGGCTGTGTGTGAAGTGGGCACTGGGGGCTGTGTGTGCAGTGGGCATTGGGGGGGGCTGTGTGTGCAGTGGGCATTGGGGGGCTGTGTGTGAAGTGGGCATTGGGGGCTGTGTGTGCAGTGGGCATTGGGGGCTATGTGTGCAGTGGGCATTGGGGGGCTGTGTGTGCAGTGGGCATTGGGGGGCTGTGTGTGCAGTGGGCATTGGGGGGGCTGTGTGTGCAGTGGGCATTGGGGGGCTGTGTGTGCAGTGGGCATTGGGGGGCTGTGTGTGCAGTGGGCACTGGGGGGCTGTGTGTGCAGTGGGTATTGGGGGCTGTGTGTGCAGTGGGCATTGGGGGCTGTGTGTGCAGTGGGCACTGGGGGGCTGTGTGTGCAGTGGGCATTGGGGGCTGTGTGTGCAGTGGGCATTGGGGGCTGTGTGTGCAGTGGGCACTGGGGGCTGTGTGTGCAGTGGGCATTGGGGGCTGTGTGTGCAGTGGGCATTGGGGGCTATGTGTGCAGTGGGCACTGTGGGGGCTGTGTGTGCAGTGGGCGCTGGGGGAGCTGTGTGTGCAGTGGGCGCTGGGGGCTGTGTGTGCAGTGGGCACTGGGGGCTGTGTGTGCAGTGGGCACTGGGGGGCTGTGTGTGCAGGGGGCACTGGGGGAGCTGTGTGTGCAGTGGGCACTGGGGGGGCTGTGTGTGCAGTGGGCACTGGGGGGCTGTGTGTGCAGTGGGCATTGGGTGCTGTGTGTGCAGTGGGCATTGGGGGCTGTGTGTGCAGTGGGCATTGGGGGATCTGTGTGTGCAGTGGGCATTGGGGGGCTGTGTGTGCAGTGGGCATTGGGGGATCTGTGTGTGCAGTGGGCATTGGGGGGCTGTGTGTGCAGTGGGCATTGGGGGGCTGTGTGTGCAGTGGGCATTGGGGGGCTGTGTGTGCAGTGGGCATTGGGGGGCTGTGTGTGCAGTGGGCACTGGGGGCTGTGTGTGCAGTGGGCACTGGGGGCTGTGTGTGCAGTGGGCATTGGGGGGCTGTGTGTGCAGTGGGCATTGGGGGGCTGTGTGTGCAGTGGGCATTGGGGGGCTGTGTGTGCGGTGGGCATTGGGGGCTGTGTGTGCGGTGGGCATTGGGGGCTGTGTGTGCAGTGGGCACTGGGGGGCTGTGTGTGCAGTGGGGACCGGGGGCTGTGTGTGCAGTGGGCACTGGAGGGGCTGTGTGTGCAGTGGGCACTGGGGGCTGTGTGTGCAGTGGGCACTGGGGGCTGTGTGTGCAGTGGGCATTGGGGGGGCTGTGTGTGCAGTGGGCACTGGGGGCTGTGTGTGCAGTGGGCACTGGGGGGGCTGTGTGTGCAGTGGGCACTGGGGGCTGTGTGTGCAGTGGGCCCTGGGGGCTGTGTGTGCAGTGGGCACTGGGGGGCTGTGTGTGCAGTGGGCATCGGGGGGCTGTGTGTGCAGTGGGCACTGGGGGCTGTGTGTGCAGTGGGCACTGGGGGCTGTGTGTGCTGTGGGCATTGGGTGCTGTGTGTGCAGGGAGCACTGGGGGGGGGGCTGTGACAGGTCCTGTTGCCCCTGTGCCACCACAGCCGCTGCCCCAGCGGTGCCGTACGGGTGCCGGGTGCTGGTGCTGTGCTCCCTGCTGCAGGTGGGGGACGCGGAGCCCGAGCTGGGCACTGACGGCAGCTGGATCGGGGTGGTGCCGGTGGGCGAGGAGCCGGCGGAGCTGCCCCGCGGCGCCCGCGAGGAGTCCTTCACCACCGCCGTCGTCAGCAAGGTGCGAGCGCACGGGGCACCGCCGGTGTCTGCTCCGCATCGCATGGGGGGTCCCGGCCATCGGGGGGTCCCTGGTAGCGCTCCCGGGTCGCCTCTCGTGGGTCCCGTGTGATGCTTCACCAGGGCAGGGAGGCGCTGGGTGCTGCCTGCAGCGGGATGAGAGGCACGGGGAGGCCGCTGCCCGTCCTGCCTGTGCTGCCCTCTGAGCCCGTGTCCTGTCCCCACAGATGAAGCGAGCCCTGGTTCTGGGGGCCTCGGCCCTGCTCATCCTGGCACTGAACCAGAATGCCATCCGGGAGGTAGGGACATCCTGCCCGCAGCTCCCCACGCCGGCCTCATGCCCTGCTCACGGCTCTTGCTTCCCTCTCTGCTTGCAGCTGGACGTGTCCCAGCTTCTTGCCAAGCCCGTGATCGTGATCCAGTCCTCGGACAACGTCACCAGGCTGCTGGGAGCGCTGCTGCGGTATGGCTGGGGTTGTGGGGCTGTGCCCTGCTCCCTGCCTGGCCAGGCCGCCCGGCGGTCCTCATGCACAGTGCATGGGCTGGGGGCGAGCTGGAGCAGTGCAGAGCCCACATGGCAGGTTACCAGCAGCCCTGGTGCTGTCAGTGCTCGTCCCCACCACTGCAGTGATGGGACCCCTCGGTCTTTCCTACACGTGGTCAGTGGGGATCGCTGCTGTGGTGTCATGGGGGGAAACTGAGGCAGGGCACTGGGGGGAAGAGGTTGTGCGGGGTTGCTCAGGGCTGGGCAGGGGCAGTCCCCTGGGTCCCTGGGAATGGGG